CAAAATCTGCTACCGCAACAAACATCTTGCTCTATCTGTGGATATTGCAGCTTTGCTGTCAATTAGTGTTGGATAGGGTGAAATATGCTATAGTCGAGCATTTCCAAATTTTGCGCGATTTGGTCTACTAAGAAAAAAGTTATGAATGAAAAAGCGTCAAAGCATTTCACCGATGACTTTTGAGCGCTACTGTATGTAGTAGCACCTGTGAACAGTTTTGGTAATAATATAAAATTTCTTAGGGAGTGTCAGTTTCATATGAAGTTTATGTTCCTAAAAGGCAACGTCTGTGGGGCTCCACGCTCCTCTTCTCCCTCTAATGTTTGCTCATTAATATTTATCGGATAAACCTCCGCCTCCTGTGAACGGAATGTCTGCCTTCTTTTGGAAGTAAGCCAGTCGTCGTCACCGTGATGTGAATGCCTTCACTTTTGTGCATTTCAGTGAACTATTACACAATAGGACGAAGATTTATGCAATATTTTGACTAATAAATAAGTAATGATGTCATAATTCGTCATGCCAGGCTGTACCACCATCGTATTTATCGTGATAGGGTTGACGTGTTTTATACTTTTTCGTCTTTTCAACGTTCAAGAACTTATCAGCCGCTTCTGGTGTATCCGGAATTGCAGAGCAGATCCAAGCCGTTTGAGGTGTGTGGCGAAGAGCTAAAATGATGAACTGAGATAACGTCGTGATAAAGTGTACATGTGTATCCCGAAAACAGTGTCCCCGTTCAGAATTGGTACGGGGATTTTTAACGTTTGAGATGGGAAGTGTATGCAACACTTCAGTGAGTCTCTCCCTCCCTGATACGGAATTAGATAGCGATGAAAACCTTTTTGTGGTTACCGGGATGGGTTTTGGGATCATGGAAAAGGGTGAGGGCATCACTAGGCCCTAACCTTCTCTTTGATTAATAAATGCCCATGCAACTTACATTCAATACATAGTTCTCGCAGGCAATGCATTATGTTGGGAGTCTCATTCAGCTCACACCATTGAAGATCCTATAAATGCTAATAATTTTTCTTCCAAAAATCTCATGCCAGTGTCCCATTTGTAATATTTCCTAATAGTTCTTGCATTTACCAAGTTTTTTGGTAGATTTTATTTTTGATGTACCAAAAAACTACATTCAAATGAGAAAATCCGGATTATTTTGTGAAATCATGGTTGTTTAAAGGTCTGAAACCAACCCACAGACAGACAAAAAGAACCCGAAGCGGTCTTCAGAGGAGGCGATAGAAAAATTCAAGATAACTCTTTTTCACCTCTTTCACCCTTCTTTAAAATTGCATTCAATCCCCCCCCCCCCCCCCCCCNTGATAACAAATAAAAAACAACTCACGCGCGAACAGAACTTTTCTGGACGAAGGGTTACTGTGGCGAAATCGATAACATCTTTATACGTCTCATTAAGATAGTTCATACACTGAAAAAATCTATATTGATTTCTGTACAGTACTGTTGTGAATCCTGCCGCCAATCACTGCTCCTGGGCAGATCGGTTGTTCATGTACAATCTTGCTTGGAAGAACGGTCGCGGCGCGACCGCGCGCATCACAAGTTACCAAAACACTTACCCCGTCATAAGTGAACCCGTTGGGGAATAGAGTGAGGTTAAGCGGTTGCCAAACTTGGCACAATTCGGCACAGGTGTTGTGGAATAGTGACGATCGTAGGAATTGCAGGAAGGATTTCACCATTTCCTCTTCCAACAGGAAACTGTGCTGAAATATATCGGGCACATAGGAGATTCGTGAATAGGCAAAGGATGTATGTACGCATAACTACATATGCCATCCCTTTGCTACCTGGGGATTGACCGTACCTCAGCCAGGTTAGTTACTGTCATGCAAGTAGCACATTCCATGCACAAGACGGCTTCGGTGATGTTTCGAGCTGAAAAAAAATTGATTTTGAGCCTCTATAGAAGAGACTGTTTCAATACTGTTTTTTTGGTAATGTAACGCATAACCCAAAAGAAATAAGGTTTGCTGAGATGAGCGCCTAGACACATACATCGTGCTTCGTAGTCCTGATAGCAAGCTGGAGCCAGAGTAGAACAGATTGCTTTAGCCGATGGGACATTGGCATACAGTAGACGCATCAGATACCGTTCGTCTTCCTGAAATGTAGACCCGATGAAAAAATATTTGGGTTCTTTTCGGAAAAATAGGTCGTTTGTAACGGCTACTGTAATGTAGAAGGGAGAGGAATAGAGAATGGTATGGGAAGCTAGCGAAGGAACGCCTGCAAGTTACTCCCCAGTCAACTTGGTTACATTAAGCACACGACGTAGGGATGGGCATATGGGAAGAGCGTTGTTTTCGGAATCGTGCGAAAACAGATTGAATAGTAATCATTCATTCCTAATAGAATGGCAAAGGTGGGAAACATCTTACTGACCTCCCAAGTTGGGCGCATAGAGAATAACCTGGGAAGCATTTCGGTCATGAGATGATCGCATAGGCCGCAAAAAGGACCTGAAACAAATTGGTACGGTAGTAGGCCAAACAGGACCAATCCACGGTACAAAATAACAACAAAGGAAGAGCAGAATGTTATTACTACCGTAACTAGCGATTCGGTATCCACTAAATGATAAACTGATTAAAGCTGATTAATCGCTTTTTTTTGGAAACTTTCAATTGATAACCTACCTGGATAAGCAGTTGACAGTATACTCAAGAAACCCATAATCTGATCTTCAGTGATCGAGTTTATGTCTTTGATTGGTGGCTGATCGCAGATTTCCTCCGCTTTGGCCATCTGATTCTGTAAATCGATTCTTTGATCAGTATCGATTCCAAGCGATTACTGTGGCACTCACATGAAGCGCCGTCATCCATCTATAGAATGGGTCAGCACTCGTGTCGGAGGTGAACATTGTCGGCATAATAAAAGGTTTCGAGGATTCTGAAGATGGTGTTTCTAATCTTACTTGAAAATAATTTTCACTGGTAAAAATTCAGTCATTGGTTGTTGGTGGTTTTTAAAGAAGTCGTCTCATGAGCAGCATCAAGACCATATTTCTGGGATATTGCTCCTAGAAACTCCAGTTCTTCTTTCTTTGACATTGGGAGCGAGATCAGGCGAAACGTTAGTTGGCAATTTTCGTTTAGGCACAGCTTTTACTGAGCCTTCCGCTCTCACAGATTTCGCGGATTGTGGATTTCGGGTTACAGTAATCGCATACAGTAAGGTAGAAGAAACATGAGAGGTACATGAAAATTCTGTCATATGTATGTATACATATATGGCGCATCAGTGCGGGTGTCTATAAATGAATTCGAAAAACTAACCAACTCCAAAGCGTCAGAACATACGTGGCCGAAGCGATGGACGAGCGGCAAACGGGCGTTAGGACTCAAGGAGCCCCTTGAACATTAAGCAAACATCTTCCCCAAGACCTACATTTTGCGCGCCTTCACTGTCAGCTGATAAGATAAGTTGTCAACTATAATCCTCGTGTCAAACTATTCAGAGTGCGGACCCCCGTTCATGAGCTTATGAGGATCAAGTGACACTTGCGCGACTTCACTTTTCGCATGGAGCAAGTGTCACTAGAATAGTATTGATCAAAATCTTACCATGCCCAGAAAATCCGCCCGCACCTATCTCCCAACGAGCACATTTAATCTTCCATTTAGTTGTGAAAGACCAACCTCCGGTTTTTTGAGCTGAAGCGCAAGTGTCCTGCGTAGGAGCTGTTTCTGATTGCGTTGTCGAGCCAGTAGCAGGTGAGGAGGAAGATGCTCCTGATGAGTCCGTTGGAGAGGCAGATTTATCTGATGAGGTTGATTGTTTGCCAGGTGATGACGCGGTTGTTGAGGCAGCAGCATCGTCTTCACCAGCTGCGGTTTTTGTCGAGGAAGGAGCTGCTGTCGCTGACTGCGTTGGCGCACTTGTCGATGTTGATCCTTGGACTGTTCCGCCAGAAGTAGTCGTCTGACCCGTTCCAGATGATTCCGTGGACTGGCTACTCATTTGACTTGTTGTCCCTTGAGAACAGCTTGTTGTTCCCGAACTAGTGGAAGGAGGAGCTGCAGTTGTGAACATCGTACGGTTGGGTGCTGGACATGGTGAAAGCGTTGTTGTTGCTGCTGTAGCGTCGGTGTCGCCATCCGGGAGAACCATGTACTTGCCTAAGCCAAGTGTACCATGGAGAAGCTGAAACGAAATGATGGAGTTTCGTTATCTGAGGCTACGTTGTTACGTGCGGTGCTCCTGTTCCAGCGGTTACCGCTACGGCACCTCATGTCCCATCTCCGAATATCGTCTAGAGTGGTTTACGACTGACTGAGATTCAAAATGTGATCGGGGATCATGACCTAATTTTGACAACGGTCAACTTTTAATGGGGACCTCGACAAAAAAATGTTTTCAACCAAGGTGATATCTTAAGAGAAATGAAGTTTTGGAACTACCGAATAAAATTCTTCAATTGCTGAACCAAACAGGGTTGCGACATGGGCGAGAGTACGAGTTGACCGGTTTAGAATCTCGTGATTGATCCATGGTTTGCTAGACTGCTTCAAGCCATTCAACTGGCTATCAATTGTAGGTAGCTCACCTCTGCTTCGAACATCGCTTCCATCCTCTGGTCGAGTTTTCGTTTCATTCTGATCAGTTCCTCTTGTACAAGTGGCGGCACATTCTTTTCTATGATAAGACGGCCTTCATGGAGAGCTGCTCGACATCTTTCTTTCTGAAAGTCAAGGATTTCTTCAATCATGTAATACTTCTTTTGATGTCCTAATAACTGATTTATTTTTGTTGATTTCACAACTTTATCGGTCGTGCGATACCAAAAAAGCAAGTGAATGATGGGTTTGTCGCTATAATTTCTTTCCGATCGTGGGGAGGGAAGAGGAACAGCGATCTAAGATTTTATTCTGGAGGCCTACGTGAAGTTACGGTCCCAGCTAATAATAACCCACCTCCGCCTCTGTCGCCGGCTGGAAATTTTTCGCATAAATCATGAAAAAAAGAAAAATCATAAAATCTAGATGGAAAATAGATCGCATTACATGCAAAAATGGAAAGTATGGAGGGGTCAATCTGTTGAATGCCCTGTACTTCCAAGTTTTGAGGGATAAGGGGATATTCTGAGGGGGTAGGGAGTGCTCTCACAGTCAATGTGCTACTCTAGTGCTTCCATGACGCTCACAGACTAAGATTATCGAAATTTATTTGTTTATTTATTTTCTTTTGAAATCGATTTCTTCTCCGGTAATGCACTTTTTGCTCGACCGAATGTAAATTCTAGGGCCTGTGGAATAGCAACAGGAGTCACCGTCTTATCATTTTGTTTATTTATTCAATCACCGTATTTATTCTTTCAAACATTGAAACATTAATATCGAAAAGGTTCGCTGCTCCTTTGGATTGCAACCCAACAAAAGAAGCATGTAGCCCTTAGGCCATACGTTCTGAAATTATAGGATTATAATTTTCACCTTTAGGAGTTGGAATCGAATATTTTAAGAAACTATGATATCCCATATTAATAGTTGGGAAAAATAGCATCGCTTCTTCAAGCGTTTATTTTCTATGGTCATGTTAAGACTCAGACATTGATCAATCGTGCACGTGACATGCGCCCCGCATACGACTTCCATTCAGAATTGTAATGGTGTCTTGAATGCTTATATGGCCTAAACAGTGGCTTGCGGTAGCTAGCTAGCAGAGCTTTGATACCCCCAAGAGTCTGCACCAACACCAACCCGGGAGGGATGGAAGGTTCGGTCGGCTTGGGCGGGTAGTTGTTTGAGATTCGAACCTCGGATTTGTGAAAATGCGCCACTTGCCATAATTCCTGTGTGATTGCCATATTATGCACTACATTTTGGTGGAAGCTGTGACAGTTTTACAATGCCTCATGTCAAGTCTTTGCGTCATCTCCTTCAGAAAGCATTGAATATCGTCTTTTCACTCGTCATTGGAGCAGAACTGCCATCTATCTGGCCATCTGAGGGAATAGTTGATAAAGAACGCCAAAAAATGATAGAGCAGCCAGAATTCGTGGCAACTCTGGTTCAGGATACAACGAAAACTATGACGGGCAAACAGCAATAGCGTCAAGCATATGCAAAACTCCTTATGAAATGGCTTTTTTGTAAAGAAATATTGGGAAGGGAGAAGGCACTTCCCGGCAGCCTGGGTAGCATTCAAATGTTGCTGCAAATCTAAAGGGAAATCAAACCCATGGCGTATGATAAGAGGTGAAAGTTTAGTGCCTCTCTTATCACTGCATTACATTGAAAAGTATTCTGCAGCTTTTCTACGTAAACAAGTTTTCAAGATAAATTTGTCATATAATTTTATGGACATTGGTTGATTTATGATTTAATTTTGACGTTTTTAATCACTGTAAATCATAAAATATTATTTATAAAATCGCTCACAAAGTCAGAGGCTTCAGCAGCCAATGTCAACAGGATCAGAAGAATATGAAGGGAATTTAAACGCATTAATCGATTGCGTTACGGCAGAAGGAAGGCGATGAAGCGTGTTATCAGCAGAACGGTAGAGGGAAAGGTATTTTTATGATGCTCCGTTAATCTGGACGTTGTTGGTTTTGGTAATCACAAAAGGACATCACACCACAGTTGCAAGAAGGAATAATAAATAGTTGCACGAAGATTCAGGTTTCACCAGGGCTCCATAACGGCCGTAGTGAGGGATGTGCCCACCATTAAATTTCTCAAGAGTAATTTCAACATTAAGACTTCTTCTTTTTCAGATCTCCTATAATTTTAAAGAGGTTTGTAGAGCGAGGAGAAAGGTAATTTGCAGAGAATTAGCTGGAGAACGGGAATAGGCGAAAAAAACCTGGCAAAGTAATATAACAGTAAGATACGTGGACTTTTTAAATGACTTAGTACTTACACCATTGCAAGGATTTTAAGCAGCCCTAATTTTGTGCCTTATGAGCAGTCAAGTCAAGGATTTTTGTGTACGTTTCGTAGTTTGCAGTGCCTGTGCCACATAACTAAATTATAACGCCTTTGAGAAAGCGTAGAATCTTGTCGTTCACCTTGTTATCATAGCAAGAAGGCCTTCCGGAAACTAATTAAATACTTGCCAAGTGTTCGGGCTGCGTATTCGAAAGGGTTCAGGAGAAAGTCGTTCCTGCTTGGCAAACAGATTCTTTAACCTTTCTGATCGGATAGAGGGAGACGGTCAGGGTTCCACCAGTGTCCTGAGACCAACCCAAAAGTTCATGCTAAGAGCAAAGCTCTAGGCGACCATCCCTCCATCACCGGCGATCCGGTCCTGAAATCTTCACGAGATCCTGTTGTCTTCAGCGTAGGAGAAAGAGTTCACTGTGGAAAAGGTATTCCTCCCGAAGGGCAGTACACAGATCCTTCGGTGTGAGTGTCCGTTTAGGGGACGCCCAGTATTCTTAAAACGTGCCGGTTTATACTAAACAGTTGGACGTCGCACGCTAACGCATGCATCACATGCCACTACCGCTTACCTATGACTTGTTAGAGGACCAATATATCGGTTTACTTCCCATTTCATTACTGTTTCCTCGCCGCGCTCACTTGACATTCACACTCTTCGTCGTGCCTACGTGACTTTCGGAAGGGCGCACAAACGGGCGGCACACGAAGTTACTGCTTTATATGTAGGGAGATCGGTCCGCTGTTTCTTGGTAAACGTCATGCAGGAATAGTGCTAGTCCTCGTCTCCGATTTGGAAAACATGCCAGTTTCGTGTATTGTTCATGCTCATTACTATCTTTAAAGCTGAATAGTAGTTGCCATTCCATTGATGGTGAAGCCTGACGTGGTCAGTGCATGATCTTTGAAAAGCTCGCATCAATCATCCCTTAAATGAAGTGCAACATCAGCTAGTGATGCTCACCTTGCTGATGGTATGGCATGCAACGTGTGGTTACCATGGTCAAAGAAACTTGGGCTGATGTTTTATGCCGCGATTTGTTGTTTACTATTAGGCAAAATCTCAGTA